TTCTCTTTGCCCGTAGTTGACAAACTATGATAGATTGTTTGTTTTTATGGAGTCATAAGTGAAGATGCTATTAAATTTCAAATATGCTAAATTCTATTAACTTTGCCTAGGTCCAAGGAAGAGATCGTGTTGTTGTAAAAGGTATTGCTGAGCAGCTGGGTTTGGAAGGTTCATACACTCCTCGTACATATATTGAACAAATACAGCTAGAGAAGCTTGTGAATGAGGTTATGGTATGATACCTTCTGTAGCATTTGTGATTCACTGTCCCTGCTTCTTATCCCTAAGAAGATAACACATTTCAGGCACTACCAGATGACTTGAAAACAAAGCTTAGCCTAGATGAAGATATTGTCTCAAGTCCTAAAGAAGCTCTCTCTCAAGCCTCGGCACAGAGGGCGTGGAGAAATAAGAATATCAGAAGGTGCAGCACTTGATCCATATTTTCGTTACCTTCTACTTGTTTATTCCATGTTTATCTTTCATCAATAAACTGAGTAATGTCTTGTATGTGGCCAATAATTGATTAAAGAATTATCTGTTAGTTAAACATTTGATAACTTCAGTTTGTTTTTTTTTGGGCAACTTCCATCAAAGAAAGCACACATATATGATATTGCCTCAAAAATAGGAAACTAAGAAAGTAGGGGGTGGAGCAATGTGAGGTTTGGTGGGACAGAGAGAGAGAGAGAGAGAGAGAGAGAGAGAGAGTAGAGGCAGGGGACCAGGAGGATTCTTCTGATCTCACATGTGCACTTGACCAGTCTTCTCGCTTCTGCATGATGTCAACATAAACGTGACTTGCAGGAGTTGCTGCACTAGAGTCTAATGAAACAAGTGCGGAATCTCATGAGTATTGATACAAAGGATAAAAGAAAGCACATATAATTTTCCGTCTGATAGGATGATGGGAGATTTATATGTATATGCACCTTATGAAATATTACAATTTGTGTTCAGAGAATATCATATTCAAATTATTAAATCAATCATACCTTATGAAAGTACTGATTTAATTAGATTTTTGCTCTTGTACATGAGCAAGTCATTCTTTCATTTGATATGCATAGACTCTCTCTGCACCTGCTAGGGTGTCTGACAAGAAAACTGTCTTTTAATAGACAAATTGAGGGATGCATTGGGTTGTTAGCTAGCTGCAATTTTCAATTCTACTGTAGATGTACCACAGTAGTCACTATTCCTTTTGTTTACTGATCTACATTTACGTTATCGTGTTACTCACGTCTCCTGCCAGTACCTCAGGATGACTAGTACTTCCTCTGTTTTAAATTTTTTGAACTTCAGCCTTTTTACTCTGTCCCAAAAGCGAACGGTCAGGGCGAAGGTTCAAGACTTAAAAATGACACCTTCCTATATTTGGAACAACTACAACTTTAAACTTCTTCCAATTTTACTCTTAATGGCATGATTTTACCACCACTGAAAGGTCATGATATGTATAATGCCACAAGTTCAAAAAGTGTTCCTTTCTTTCTTAAACTCCATGCTCAATAGAACAGAGCTATATAAAATGAAGAAATACGTATAGATGTACCTTATCTACAAAGAAACCAGTTGGGGTAGGGGATAGCCAGGTAGGTGGGAACAACAGAAGTGGATATGATTCTTCCTTTTTCTCTGGACCTGGGAAACATTTTGATGTCAAATTGATTTGTAATTGACGTGCTTTGTGCAGCGGATTGTCACATTCATATTCAACTAACAGGGACAAAAATCTCAATGTTAGTTTTGATTATCAGAGAAATGACAGGATTGAGGAATCAGGGACAAGATTAGCAAACCAGGTGCGATGATTCACATTTATTTATTTTTTAACTTTCTCTTTTTTAGGCATTAATCATTCTTTACATGACATTTTTTGAGTATTTTTCTTGTTTATTCCCTAAGGGAGCGATCACACGTCTATTGGAGCAAATTTCTACGTTGAATGACCGGATGGACAACTTCACGTCTATAATGGAAGAACTTAATTCTAAGTTGTGCAGCAGAATAGCTTCTCCGAGAAACAAACAAGCTTCACCATGCATACAAAATCTGACGTTAGATTCTGAAGCATGCGTTGGATCTGCTCCTACTAACTATTTCATATCTGGTTTGGAGAACGGTTCATTGACTGGGTCCATCATGCCTAATTCCTCATCTTTTACTTCCACTATTGGAAAGGAGTCTGCCTTGATGGAAGAGGTAAGTTTTTTTTCTTGGGCTTAAAATTTTGAATGAGTTGAAAATTAAAATGCTAATTAGTTAAATATGCGTACAGTCTTGACACAAATATATAGGCCAATTTACATTTAGACAATTTCAATTATATATCCTCTTTTAGTCTTCCTCCCTTTTCCTTATGTAATTAATAAACACATAACTATTTTACACAAGCATGTAATCAAACCTAAAAGATCACGTAGTTGTATACAGACAAACAAATACCAAATTTCCAATAAATGATCTGAATGAAAATTTCATTGTGTGATCATGTAGTCATAAAAACATTAATTCATTACAAATTATCAAAATTGGGATAAGACACTATTACCCCTTTAGACTATGACCGTAATCCCAGAGACACACCTTAACTAAACTAAAGTCCTATTACCCTTGAACTCATTTTTTTTGTAATTATGTACGCCTTTGGCTTATGTGGCACACTCCGACTCCACACAGTTAGGCGCGTGGGAGATATTTTGATGCCACGTAAGCTAAAAACATGTACAAAATTACAAAAAAAATGGGTTCGGGGGTAATAGGACCTTTGTTTAGTTAAGGTGTGTCTTTGGGATTTCGGTCATAGTTTAGGGGGTACTTGTACCTTATCCTTATAAAAATTACAATGAGGTGAAAGCACATCAATACCAACCTACCAGCGTAAATGCACAAAAAATAAACATAAAAGTAAATATTGTGCATGACTGCGTCTGAGCCAGAGGGGATGTTCATGTCTGAAGTGGCATTGGCACACCACAGCTGTATGCCAGAAATAGCAGCAGCAAGATTGCTAAGTAGGTCCGAGCATGAAAAAATGAAACCTAGGAATTTTCTCTGGCTGTTGCACGTAATTCATTTTTGGGTTCAAATTGCCTGTGCAAAATGAAGATTCTTTGCATTTTTTTATATGAAGCTACTAGTGCAGCATTCTGCACTTGTGTTTGAAGATATTATGGGTTTTAGGAATTGAATCTGCTACATTTGCTTCGATATGGTAAGCCATAGATAGTTTTTCTTTGAAAAAAAGATCCCGGCTATCATTTTGACAGTATACTACACAAAGTTTGTAATATTTTTTCTATTAAATAATATATATGCATATATGTGATTAGGAAGGGAATGTATGATTTTTTTAACTTACTGTTGCAGAAGATAACTAATTTATTATCAGATGTATATTTCCTTGTTCTTGTACATTGAATTTGTTGCCTAAAGCATCTTAACCTCTTTGGTTGTTGTCTTATAAATCCCTTTCGGATACAGATATCCAATATTGCACGTGGACAGCGTCAACTTATGCATCAGCTGGACAACGTTAGCAATGTTCTTCGCGAGGGATTAGGAGAACAGTCTCGACAAGCAAGAGTGAATAAGAAAAGTGATACAATCAAAACCATCAGAAAGCCTCTCATTGTAACATTAGCAGTTGGTGGCCTGGGAATTCTCTTGTTTAAGAGCCTCCAACGCCGTAACTGATTCTTCATCCTAATATTTACTGTAGGATTTTTCTTTTTCTCCTACACAGCTTACATTTTTTCATAGCGTTGTACCCTTCAATCGGGATAAAATACTGCTCATAGATCAAACTGATCTGTGATGTTGAGGCTAAGAAGGCAGAATGTGATGCTTTCTGATCGATGAGTTTCGTTTTGTTAAAGAAGGGGATGAATTAGAAGATTTTTGTAGACTTGTGGGGTTCATTTAATAAAAATATGTTCTTCACCAGATGTTTTGGAGTTTTAGTCAGTGAATAAGATTAGCAGTTAGTTCACGCTCAGGATGTAGACTCTGAGTGACACCTTCAACTATATAAAGCTTGTAACAGAGCCATCTGAATGTTATAATGATAAATTTAGCTTGTATATCTGTTACACCTAATTTACACTATACAAGAATATTCTAATTCTTCAAAGCAGAAATCGTATTAAACCAGCAAATGACCAGTTGGCATAAAAGACTCGTGAGGAAAATGAAGTTTCCTTAACAAGTTAAAAAGTAAAGGATAAAGTCATCAGAGTAGTAGAATAGTATCTGTTTTGGGAAGAACAAACATAAATGACAAATTGGAATTGAAGTTCGATTATTCTGAATTCGGTATTAGTTGATAAACGATTAATGTCTTAAACTGAAAAATTAAATGATTATGAAAAGGACAATTTGTTAGGCATGAAAATGGTTTAAAGCAGCTATCAACTCAACATTTTTTTACAAGACTTATTTGGCACAAGTCATTACCATAAAACTCAGTTTGGCCATTTGCCATAATTAAGTTTCTACTAGTTATCCTCCAGTTAATTAAAAGTTTCAATTAATAATTAATGTAAATATTTTATCATTATATTTATATTAATTGATAGTATATGGATAACTGTTATACATAGGATACTTCAAATAATTATGGAGTTACAAATTGAATAATTTTAAATCTTACCTGTATATTAAATCTTTTCTTTATTTTAAACATAATTACGTGGAAACAAAATTCCAAAAAATAAAGAATATTTAGAAAGGGATGGTCCTTCCTACTCTAAAAATAAAACAAGAAATATTTAATTTAAAATAAATAGAAAGCCTATATAACAAGATATGCCTAGAAAATAAAGAATAGTTAGACTTGTTAGTATTTGTTGCGGTACCTTTATAAGCTCTGATTATCAAATTATTATTTTGTTGTTATTAGATTTAATTCAAATTTTCTGGTTATTTGTTATGATAAAATTTATATATCTTGATAAAATCAATTCGATGTTTACACTCAAAATTAATTAAAAAAAAGTATTGGTTGGGTGGGGGTGCATAAGTGAGGTGATGTGGAAACCACTCTCCTTAGAAGTGACTTCTTTTCAACTCCCGAGGCTCTGTCACTCTCCAAACAGATCTCATCTCTCACACTGCTTTCATCTTTTGTTCACCATTACTATGCTAATTATATATGCATTATTTTTTCTGTAATGGATCCTCATTCTACTATAATGAGTGCGTTTCAAACTGCGACTAATTTGGCGGAGATCTGGCCCTATCACCATCTTCTCGACCACACTACTAATCACGCCGCCACAAAGCGACGCGACGATGATGAATCTGCTATTGCAGTTTCAACTAGTGGAAATGCCTTGGTATATATATCTCTCCTAACTAGTCACTTGCTTCACTACTTAATTTGATTGTCAATCTCAATTTTGTGAGGCATAGTTTGGATTTCATGAGAAAATTACATTTGAATATACAATGAAAAAGTCACGGGACTCTAAATCAGAAATGTGACACATAAATAGGAAGGAGAGAGTAAATTGCATTATAGATTGGAATCAAGTGTTTGGCTGAATCATTGATAGTTCTGGTATGGTACAGTATCTAAGTTAAAGAAAATTAATAACATTTTTGAATCTTAAAGTATAAATTTGAGGATATATTCATATATTGTAGGTAACAAAATGTCCTTTAAGCTTTTGGTTCTAAACATGCAAGCTGAAAAGTTGAAATAAATAAGAGGAAAGGCTCGGTCTTCTCAAAACAAACTAAAAATAAATTGAAACGGAAAGAGAAATATTCAATTGGCTACGCAGTCTAAGAGAGTTTCTGTTATTTTATCTAGCAGATTGATCTGCTAATTGCAAAAAGCTGGTGAAGACTGAATAGGGTAGTACTACATTTGTTATTGATCTTAATTTCCTGTTTCTTGGTGCAATGTTCAGCTTTGTATAAGTGGACCTTAGCTTGTTTCTAGTTGATATATATATATGTTGGTATCAAAATCTTGTGGTCTTTATTGTTCTTATATCTGTTAGTATTTTCTGGTGATTAAAGCAGACTGAATCTGATAGTAAGCGGCTGAAGGCCACAAGATCAAACGAGAATGGGGAATATTCAGGAGGGAATTCAGGAAAATCTTCAGACCAACCTGCAAAGCCACCAGCTGAACCACCTAAGGACTACATCCATGTGCGAGCGAGGAGAGGTCAAGCTACCGATAGTCATAGCCTAGCAGAAAGAGTAATTATATCCATAACTTTTTCTTAACTCGAATAAGTTGTTGAATGTTTGATATCAAATGATGGTTATTTGTAATCGATAATGGAACTTGTTGATACATTTGGTTTGCAGGCCAGAAGAGAAAAGATTAGTGACAGGATGAAAATCCTACAAGACTTGGTCCCTGGTTGTAACAAGGTATATGTTTCCTTTTCTTTCTACTGTGTCGAATAATCTAAAGCAATTACCTCATTGTGATGATCAACTGCTTCTCCATTTGTTCTTTTATTAGTTGTTAGATGAATCTGAAATATATACTAATAAGACAAATCAATGATTTCAATACCTGAACGATTGGTATACATTTTTTTGTGGTTTTGGACTGTACTACAGAGTTGTCTCTATCTTTCTTTGAGATGAAAGATTAAGTTTCACTGGCAAAGCCTGCTCTCGTAGTCCTCCTTATCAAACTGAGTCAATGTTGTACTCCTCTCAATGATATCAACTTCAGTATATAAAATACTTCATCTCTTCTAATTTATCTGACATTCTTGGTATTTCGAGATTCAAATGAGTTTTTCTTTGATCACATTTTTCTTCAATTGTTAATTATTTGTGACTTATAGTACTGACCTCTTTACGTAGTTTCCAAACATATAAATGTTATTTCACAAAACCTAAAAATTAAGCTCTCGAAATACGAAAGGTGTCAATTAAATTAGAACAAAAGGAGCAATAGTTGGCAAATTTCATAAAGACATACCATGCAAGCGAAGCCTTTGAGCTTGTCTTTATGATCAACTCTTTAATTTGTTGAAAATTCAGTTAAGTGGATACAAAGAGCTATGATCTGTTTGAACCACTTGTTTAAGCAACATCATGTAGGCTTCATCCTATTGTTCCATGTCAAAAGTCTTTTACTTGACCCCAGAACTGTATCAGCCTTATTGTTAGAAGAAATGCTGTCTTTCATTTGTTGGTGTTAAGAGAACCCTCTAACTCTACATGCATCCAATTGTCAGGAACATAAAGTGTAATGAACCTAATGTCTCTAATTACCTGCATTTCAGCCTACATCATTGGTTCTGATTTTAACATCTAATTTCTTCAGGAACATATAGCGGAATGAACTGATGTCTCTAAAGTTACGTGCATTCTAGCCCCATCGCTGGTGCTAGGATGGTAGAGATTTAAACCCTTATTCTCTTCACATAAATTAACATCAAAATGTGAATTCAATTCAATTACATGTATCTTTTACTTCTGAATGCAGTGGGAAAAGTCAGTTTAACATTGTTTGGTTACAGGTTATTGGAAAAGCTCTTGTCCTTGATGAGATAATCAATTATGTCCAATCATTACAACGTCAGGTTGAGGTATGCTCTCCACCTATCTTGTCTAGTTGAGACTTCTATACTAGGAGTAACATTTTCTCTTGATTCCTCAGTTCCTATCAATGAAGCTTGAAGCAGTTAATACAAGAGTAACCCCAACCATCGAAGGAATTCCTACTAAAGACGTAAGTGTTGTATGAGAAAATCTTTTTAGTAGTTGAATTCATTTCTTTGTTATAGCATGTATAATCTTGTTTGTCAAGCACTGTTAACTCCACTAGAACCTCATCTATCCTTTTCATGCCATAACTCTCTGTCAACCTTGAATATAGTACATGACTAACATTGAAGTTGGAATATGTTTGGGCATGGCCTCTGACTTCTGAGTCTGGCTTGGTACTAGCTCATTGAATGTGTAATTAGTGATTAAATAATAGTACCCCACATTTCTGAGACTTGGCTGAAACTATATTGAATAATGAATGATTTGAATGCTATGGATATTCAAGCATCTCGTTTTACAAGCTATACCTTAAGTTTGAAAATGAGCAAGCTTGCAGTGAGTGTGTATAACAGGAACCCACGATATGATTTTGCAGCACATTGAAATTTAGCTCCTTGTAAAACTAAGTGAGGAGTAAACAATTAAAGCAGAAACTGTAAAGAGACAATAAGAATACATTCTAAGATCCGAAAAAGAGGAAAATACATTCATTGATTGATTTCACAATGTAAGATAGCACTAGATTAGTACTTGGGGAGAGTTTTCTTCAAGTTTCATTCTCAGATGAATTCATAACGAAGTGCTTTGGTTTTCCAGTTTGGGCAGCAAACATTCGAGACAAACGCTATGGCATTTGGTTCACAAGGTACAAGGGAATATGCTGGGGGGACATCACCAGACTGGTTGCACATGCAGATAGGTGGTGGATTTGAAAGAACGACATAAAGTAAATAATTGGAGGCATCAAAGGCTAATAAATTCTTAGGAGGCTAATGCTTCCTCCAGGAACTGCCAAAATATATAACAGTTCCTTGATTTATAGGTAGATAACTGATCAGGAACAGATTTTTTGTATCATGTATGTCTTTAGGACACCGCGAACCAAATCATCATCTCCTTTCCTCCTTTAATTTAACAGCACATTTCTTTCAAATCAACTGAAACAAAAATGCTAAATGAATAGTACACGGGTGAGAATGCGTATTTAAGCATTCATATGTGCTGCTTTGCTCTGCCAAAACTATCACAATTAGAAAATATGAGCCTTGGGCATTAAACAGTTGTTAGTGTGCTGCGACAACATGAGTATTATATATAGCTCAAATTATAAGTGGTGTGTTAAGAGTTAAGACTCTTAACTATTCATTATAGAAGATTCCCAAGCACGGGAAGAAGGCTAATGAAGTCAAAAAGAAACCTTATAAACACACTCTACTCCCTATAAGATCTGCTGAGATCTTCAAACATGTAAAATTCACATTGCCAAATTAAGTCACTATTACTTACAGAACATTCTAGTTCTAATAACATCTTTTGTTTTTTAAGGAATTAATGATTCACCAGATGAAAGGTATGTGACTAGGCTCAATCATGCAGCGGGTCGTGTTCTGCCATATGAACTTCCAGCACTGTTGAAATCTGAACCGTTAGACTGAAAGTAGGAAACAGCCGACCAGAGCACACGTAATAACAGAATTGCTACAAAGACGGCACCACCAAGTGAGCAGACCACCTAGAAGGACAGAACCATCACTAGCAGAGTTCAATTGAAGATCAATATTTCACCCACCCAAGAGGAGAAGTTGCTCTATTTACCCTAACCATGCTCTAAATCAGAATAGAAGACATAAAATTGTTTTGTACAAAAACTTTCAGAAATTGTGATGTGTAATACTGTGATCTTCTTAAGTGGCTGAAGATTTTGATTTTGCAAGTCTTATGTTTGATAAATTATAATATCTCTTTTATATTGCATTCTTAGAATTGCATATCCGTTTACTTTAATTAGTGGGTTAAAGGCAGCTTGCATCCACAAAAGCAGCAGAAAGCCAGATTTGGTCAATGAGTAAATTCGTAAAACAAGCAACAAGTATTACAGAGTGTGTGTGTTTGGGGGTGCTTAATCAGGTAAAACATTCAAAAAATGACATGGCAAAGGAATACCTCAAGAAATGCCTTCAAGATGGAGAGTAAAGCCAAAATTAGAACGCCATCAACTGCAAAAGTTACCTGCATTCCTCCAACAATGAGAACGGATGGAAGAGAGGATTTTGAGCATAATTTATTTATATAATTCAACTAGAAGATCAAAACAAAACAAAACACCAAAAACGCTAGTAGCCCAAATATGTTAGTAAAAGAAGAAACATTGTATTATAGATGGTGTGAACTGATTAAAAGTTTATGAAGGTGGATGGACTTATGTTGACATGAAAACACAAATCAACTTAACTCTGAAAACTAAGAAGCATAATTCTTACACATTTGTAGATGTGACAATTACTACCATGCTATCTGACAAGTCATTGCAATTTGGTTAAAGTTAAACATTATTTTCCCTTTTAAACGGGTGGCTAAAGAATGCACCCATCCTAGTTGGGAACTAGACATATTCACGTTGGATATGGACGACACAATCTCAGTACTAAAATTGGGTGTTAGTAGTTGGATGTGACATCATGTGATGGCTATGTTTTGCAGGCTAAATTTTGAGAGTTAAAATCACCTCCATGCTTTTAAACACTCGAGGCACCACTATTTTAAATCTCATGTGTTAATTTTTGAGCTTGGCTAGGGTTCAATCATGGGAGGAGGATCAATTGGCTTAGAACTGTAGTTGAGGAGCAACATTATATCGTGTGAAATACATCAGGCCTGGGAAATGTTCTGTAACCCCACATGCTAAGAGTGGGGATTATTGACAAATGCACTAGAAAGCAAGTCAAGGACTTAAGAATTACCCTCTTATGGTGATGCATAAGTTGGTTGTGTTGACACAACCACAAGCCAAGTGCACAAACTTAAGAACTGAATATGTCCTTACTCGAGCAATGCTCAGTATCAAGTAAGAGGCAACCAATAGCCTTAGCCATTTACAGATGCACATACACAATTTAAGAGTTCCTTGCCATGAGTATTCTAACTAGTTAGAGTCAAAGCTTCAAGCACGAAATGAGTGGCCTGATGTGATTCAAAAACCCCAGTGAATACAAGCTCTACCACGATGAGATTTTCACCGAGCCGATGCTTAAGGCACTAGGAAGCATGAGAGTATTCTGCTAATTTACTTTGATCCCACGACCATGGCACCAGATTGTGTATGAAGGCTTGAGATGAGAGTAAACTGGGTAGTAGTTTAACGTGACCAAAAGCGTTCAAGGCCGCTCTCTCTGTAGGAGAGTTGATCCCTAATAACATTTATGTAAAAGGTGAAGAAAGGCCCTTGCCTCCCTCGACACATAAATAAAAGAAAGCTTATCATTCAATCCGAACCAATGGCCACCATACATCTACAGAAGTACCAGAAGAATGCTATTTTTTCAGCATCCTAATACAGTCAATTTCTTAGTCACCTCCCAGTCCAAGAAATATAGTTCTTCTTTTTGAGTACTGTGGTGTCCGAGCCAGCTTTCACACAACTTGACTAATTCCACAGGATGCACCAGCAACAAGTACCAAGTAACTCTGTCCACCAAGGCTAGAATCACCTAGTGTGCTTTTTGTCTCCCCTGGGAATTGATAGGAGTTTCTAATTCGGGTAGAATAAGCTGCAGTATAGCCTATAACATTATGGTTGTGCCTGGGAAAGGACACTGATTTCATGAACAAAGTCACTTAGAATTCACACAAAGTTGAAACCTATTGGATCAATTTATATGCTGAACAAATTATTAAAAGAGTGAGTTTGAAGATTTACAAGCTGTGGAGAAATGACGTCCGGCAGTATAGAGCGAGTAGCTTTCCTAGCACGCTTAGAAACCTTTGTGAACATACTCTGCACAAATCTAACTAGTAAGTCAATACTGCTCTCCGTCTCCTCTTCCTCATCGTTCTCTTCATCCTCCTCCAATAATTCATCATCTTCAAAATTCATTCGGTACATCCTTTCAGCTGCTTCTCCAATCGATCCATCAAACTAAAACACAAGCAAGAGATTAAATCAACAAAATTAAATAGGTCCAACTAAAGCAAAATGAGATCGACCTTGGCATGGCAAATTGTGAATCTGGGTTTTCGTAAAGGGAGAGCTAACAAGTGAGAAATTGGAGAAGATGAAGTTATTGAGTATAATCTCAAGGAAGATAGTGATGATAATCGCAGTACGGCAGCTCCCGCCATTCAATTTCTGATAAGATTGATTCGTCGTCCCTTTAAAATTTGATACAACGTTTGAATATTAGTTTCGTCATATATACTCTCATTAACTTTACTTATACGTATATAGTATGACATAGCAAATAGTTTCGAAACAGAGATGAAATTAAAAAGTGTTTTAAAAGATGAAATTATTACTTGGTCTTAAATTAAATTTATTATTAATTTCATCCTCATAATATTAACCGTCTTAAAAATGTTCATTTATTTGGCTATCAATCCCGTTAATTAAATGGACATGAATTCACCAAAATACCTAGAGTGAAGAGATGATTATCATCATGTTGATAACCAAGAGACATAGAAGCTAGATAATTTTGTGCTACTTCTTGTTGTGCATTATAAGAGTAATCTCATTTATAAAATAAGTGTCATATTCATCCCTAGGAGATAAATTTCATGATAAAAAGAGTAATTAATTTAAAACTTTCCTATTTATTTCATAGAAATACAAACTGAAACGTCACATTCATACATAAATACATAATGAAAACATTATTGCACATTTTATTCGAAAATACACACATATAAATTGGTAACTTTCTATATTATTATTACCTCATTTTTTGCATAGTGAACTCGATAGGATACGTTTTCCTTTGCCAACAACTCTTCCATTTCATCATAAGTATCAAAAATATATTGGTATAGGAGCTTTAGGTATATGGGGGTAGTTGTTGTGATGCATTTATGTCCCATCTGTGTAGTAACAAATTAAATTCGAACCAAGTCAATATTTTACTCATATATGTTAAAATATACTATATATGTTGAAATTATTTCACCTTTGAATGGCATCCGTGAACATTTCAAGTTCATCATGTGTTCCATAAACATCATACAAATCGTCTAATATGGACGCAAGAGAGATTATTTGAGTTGAAAATCTTCGCGCCCTACAATATTTGTGGCTCAAAGTACACTCCTATTATCCAAAAATAGGCTTCTACCAAACAATCTCGTGCAAATAAAAAGTTTCTTTCAACATCCAAACCTTTTCACCACCTGAATTTATTACGATAAAAAATCGAAAACTCATTTGGTGGTATATATTAATAATTCCCCCCCCCCCCCCTCCCTCAAAATATCTAATTAAACATATGTACCTTGTAAGGCCACTTAGCTCTTTTTGATGCAACTTTTGCAACATGTTGAAGTCTAGACGTGCAAATTCAACACAACTCATGTTGTTGTAGATGTGTGTTTAAGTGATTCCTCAATTTCCTTTTCAAAATGATATGATACTCCAAATCTTTGGGTATTGTCAATAATCTCTAATAATTTTCTTGTTGATGTAGCATGATGAGCTTCTATTAACATCTTCTTCACTTCATCTCTAAGTTGTGCAACTCCTTCTTCTTCTTCATGATCAATATCCTTCAATAATAACAATTATACGTACAGTGACAGAATCAGAATTTTCATTTAAGAATATTCAAAATATTAAAAAAGTCAAAAAAAATAATAAATATTACCATATTCTATGTATATATAAAAAATAATTAGCGATAGATAGTTAATTAATTACCGTAATTGAAGAATCATATGCAAGGAAATAGTCACTCCAAACACTTGATGATAATCTACATATCGACGAGCTGATTTAGGAACATTCATATTGTTAATCTCCATCTTTAGTATTTAATTTTTACTTAACTTGAATGTTTTGACTACTAATTAAATTGTAAATGTTGCTCTATTTATATTATGCATTTTGACATGTCAACGATGGTGAGGACATTATATAATGGGTGTAAGGTAAGATTGAATATCTTCTTCTTTGAAGAAAGAATATATAATTTGTTTAAGTCGTTTATTAATTTGTAAAATATTCTTTAACCAAAGTAGAAAGTTTATTTCACATTATGTATATATAATAATAAGATTTTTTTATAAAAAAAAATAACCCCGTTAGCGATTGCAGTGTAATAATTACTTTGGACGTATCATAATTCCGAAAAATCATATCTTATAATAAGATTTGGAGAATTTCGTGTTGCTTACTTTTGGTAATTGACATGCAAATCAAGTGAGACATGATAAAGTAAATAATGTCATTATCTTGTTACATAAATAAAATCCGACCCTATATATTAAGGGGATAGTTCAAGTTTTAATTTGTAAAAATATTTTATCAATACATTATTTACGCGTGAATGATATGTATCCTGCAGAGTTAAACACTTAAACTTAACTTTTTTTTTTATAAATAAAGATTAAATATGATATTTTTTACCATAAATTAATAACTATGTCCATTGCAAAACAATGTTGAGTTTAATTAAATTGTGGTTGACATGATGTATTAGGAGATTTTGTGGTGTGGTTTGAAGAGCAAAGAAAGGGCAACATGAAAATAAAAATGGAGGAAGCAGTCGTGATTTTTGGGAAGCCTTAAACAATTTATAACGGAATAATAAATAAAGTCAATTTGTTGACACTTATTAATTTGTACCGTGTGAAGGAGTTGGAGGGATGGAGGAGTGTCAATTTGGGAGCCGAGATGTTTGTTGTAGTTGCAAATAAGATGATTATTAAAAAGAAATTGCCTTCGCTTGATACAATTAAATGTAATGATGACTCTTATTTTGATTTATTAGTTTTTAATTGTAAAATTCTTATTAAAAAGTAACATTTATTCTCTTTATCATGGCGTTACAGAAAAATCAATGAATCAAGTTGCTGATCATCCTCAATTTCTTATTATTGATTTACTCATATTTGATTGAATAATGCGTAAAAAAAATCATTTTTTTTAAAAAAAAGAACCATATCTATAGATAGAGATATTAAGGTTTAAAATAAAACAACTCTTTATATTAAAGACTATTTTGATCTTTTTTTAAAAAAATGTAGGCCATTTATGTGAATATTTATTATACTTCTAAGTATCATATAAACAGTAAATAGGTAATCATCTAATCTACGATAATTTTTAACTTAAAACAAATAAGTCAATTGATAATTCAATTAATTTTCGAATAAAATTTAATTAGCCCCTCTCTCTTGTATTTCACCTACCAATATGACAAAAAATAAGATAAAAACAACAATTGAATTTCAATTTCCTAAAAAATAAACTAGTCCATTTCAATTACATTATTAATAATAACATCATGAGTGGCATTTGACAAGGATAGTATCAACTTGAGGTGCTATATATAATCACTAAAGACCACAAAAATAAACAACACATAATTAACTAAACAACAAAATCATCACAACTAATGAAAACAACACCATATGTATACAACAAAACAAAAGCAATCACCATCATCAATCACCTAATTAAAATTTTCTCCATAATCTAATCCCACTAATTAATATCTAATCTTATCTAACTAATAATTAAACCCCACTTAATTACATCACATGTATCTTAAAATTAAACTAATAATAACAATCATTATTCTTCAAGCCACACTAATTATACTATCCCCACTAGTACTACCATTGAACCCACCAGACATTGCCGGCTGGAAAGCCGTCGAATGCCTCGGTGGCGACGGCGAGTTCTCGTTACCCGCCACCGTCACCAACGCTGACGTGGACAGGTTTAAATTGAGATCTGCCATTTTTGATGAAGGAGGAACAGGAAGAGCTGGTATTGGCCTAATAGGCTTCATGGATTTGTTCATTCCTATCTCCGACGAACTTTCTCCGGTGACCGGTAACTTCACCGGCGACTCTAGCCGGAAAACTGACATCCGACAATCATTCATTTGCTTATTATCTTCCAATTTAGCAGCACCCTGAACCTAAAACATTGGAAAAATCAAAATTAGAGGCACGAAACTATTGATTCAACGGAACCTATTACTTTTTTTTTGATTCGATTAGTTCGTATAACGAAAATTAAAATGTTAAAAAGGCTTACAGTATCAGTGGTGATGTCGAATAGACTAGACCTCCGGCGTCTACGATTATTGTTGTTACGCCGGAGGAAGTACTTTTGAGCATGACTGGCTACTTGTGTTGGAGTTCTTGTTTTAACGAAGTTTCTAGAAATTCCTCTCCAATCACCTTTTCCTACTTTCTGTAATCCTAACAAGAATAGTTTGTGCTCTTCTTCTGTCCACGGTACACCTAACGAACAACAAAAATTAGAATTATGAAAAGAAAAAAGAAAAACAATACATGTAAAATGAGTAATGTATAGATATATTATACCTCGTTTACGTTCACGACTCCTAGCGGAAGGATGAACAACGTCATCAGAAGCATAGCCGGTGTTAGAATGATCTTGGTGCTGCTGCTCCATGTCCAACAAAGCAAGATTATTCATGCTAGCACTTTTTCTAAATGAACCACCAGTAGCAGCAGCACCTTCCATCATTCTAACACCAAAGAGCATGAACCCTTTTACGTATGTCTGGGGTTCATGCTCTTTGTTTCCGCTTTGAATGAAGAATTCGTTATTAGACATGGTGCTAGGCAATTTTAATTTTGTGAGGAAAAAAAATGAAATGATTTATTTGTTGGCGTAAACCATATGGTAAAAGGAAGGAAATTAGGGGGAAAAGAAAAAGAACAATAAAGGAATGGTTATGTTTAGTCAATTATTGACTATATACTAAAAGTATAGTCAATTTAATAAAAGGTTGTATCTGGTCCGGTGATGCTTCGAGGAAGCAACTTCTATCTAATTTTTATTTTTATTTTCTAAAAAAGTATAGAAAATACTCGATTAATTTTATTTTTAAATTATTGATAGTCTAAAAATATTTTTACATTCAATTAACTAAATTTAGATAAATCTACGTAAATTATTAAATGAATAATACTTAATTATAACTCAAACAATAAGTTATAGCATTTCATATCTACTCTTTAAGAACACGATAATGATGTATATCAATTAACACTTCTTTTTAAAAAATATAGCTAAAATGTTACATCTTTACTGATATATTATTAATCTTCATATTTTTATAATGTCTTAAAAGTTATTGTATTTTACTATTTGAAAGTAAAAAAATTATTTAGGAAGGAATGATGTTTTATTATAGTACTTTTAAAACATTAATGTTGTCCAAAGGATTAGATGATCTCTAATATTGATGTAAGACGTTGTGTTTTTGGCTTGAAATGCTTTGGTTCATAGTGGGACGATAAAGATAATAAAAATACCAATTATTTATATAATAAAATGACATCTAAAATAGTCACGTGGCTAAAGAAAGATAAAAATTTTAAAATAAAGGATGGTGGAAAGAGCATAGTGACTCTCCACCATCAAAATGGTATATTCTCCAATCCTTTTGGAAAGATTTGGTTGTCTCTATTTGTTAATAAAGTATATTACATACACATTTGATGGTAGGGGTTCATTTGTATCGATATGACGTCAGTGGTATATTAATGAGATTGTTTCATTTTTAATGAAATATTTTAAATCTAAATTTTAAATATGACAAAAATCATGTTAAAAGCAATATTTCCAAATTAACTCTGCAATTGACAATTTAAATTTAATTAAACATTTAATAGATGCTTCAAACGCTAAAAAAACCAAACAAAAAGAAAGAAAGATGTAGAGGTTCATTTGTGAGGATGAGAAAAGTCATTAAGACCCCACTCATCTACTCTTTTCTTAATTGTGTGGTTCTAGTGGATATCCTTTTAGTTACTTTTTTCTTTGTCTTTCCCCCTTTACTTTTATGTGATCCAAAGTGCAAGCACCTTTGGGTTGATTACAAGATCGATCCATCTTGATCTTGGTATGTTCTAACCATTAAAAAAGGGGTTCCTTTTGTATAACTAATTAGAGTTGTACATATATTAATAATATATGAACGAATTTATATAGAGAGAGATTATTTATTAATGTAGTAGTTATTTCATATTTTACAAGGCATAGTATAATATATAGATTATTATATTAGTTATATAGATTTTTAAATTACAAATCAAATATCATATTAATTTTATACATAAATGACTTATTTCTTAATCAACTATCAAATATAATATAATTTATGCAGAATTTTATATAAGCATAATTTACATCTAAATTAACTATCAAACGACCCCTAAATATTGTAATAAATTGAATTACGAAATGATAACATAAGAATTTAATCAGACAACCTCTAAAGTATTGTAATAGATTGATTTACGAGATGATGATAATATAAGAATTTTATAAAATATAAAAATTTTCCCTTGCACGAAATAATAAATCAATCGATATTTAAATTAAAAACATAAAAAGCCAATACATATAATGGTTAGGTGTGCGTTTAATTTTTCTTGCCTCTTTCTCCTTTTTCAATTCTTCCAATATGTAATATAAAAAAATAAATACAAAAGAAAACCACCACTATTTCACATAATTAATTAAAAAATAAAATAGGTCATAGTAGTA